CCGTGTACAGGCGCCACCTGCTGGAAGAAGACAGAAAACGGGGAGCATCCTAGGACGTCTTTCCTAGCCCTCTGGAGAGCTGCGACGGGAATTGTGTCCCCGGTGTTGGCAGCCTATGGGACAGCTCTAACCCGCAGAAAAACCTGTCATGCGGCAGTGTAACAGCATCACCCCCTTACCTCACGTCTACAAGTCCATCTGGGACGCGCCGCTGCCTCTGGTCCACCTTCTGCACTCCCTCCCCTCCCGGGAACCTGGCCTCTCTCCCTCCTGAATTGTGGAGCACAGAACATAGCTGGATGCCCTTGCAAAGCGTCAGCTGTCTGGGGACCCTTCTCGGAGGCGTCCCTGCGTGTAGGGCCTGGTTCTCGTCTTGCTGCCTGCGCCTATCGCGCTCCTGTGAGCCTGCCCTTTGCCCTCCAGGAGGCGTTCCCATGGCTGGGAGCTGGGCGACGAGGCCCAGGGGCCTGGCCGTGGGTCGTTCGGGACAGCGCGGTGCCAGAGAGCCGAGGAAGCGAAGGCTGAGCATTGAGGTTCCTGAGTGGCAGAGGTGCTGGCATTAGGAAAGCAGAAGAGGCAGAGCAGAGGACTGGGACCAGCAAGAGATGCTGGGGCTCTGGTGTGAGGTCCCCCCAGCAGGGATGCAGGGCTGGAACAGCAGGGGGCGCTGCAGGGCAGGAGCCGGGGCCCCTGGTGTCTGGGTCGTGGGGTGCCGGTTGCTTCTGGCTTGCTTGGGCTCCCGTCTCTGGCGTTGCGCCGTGAACGTGGGCGGAGCGGGGCCGGGGCCGGGGCCGGAGCTGCCCCCGCGGCCTTAGCGATGGAGCCGGGGAGGAACAAGCCGGCGTTGTTCTGAGACCCAGCAGCTTCCCCTCCGGCGGGTGCTGTCGAGCGAGGGTTAGCAGCCAGCGCCGCCTGGCACCCCGGCCTGTCCCCCGGCCACCGTGGCGTTGGGAGAGGAAGTGTCGCGGCAGCTTCGAGTGACTTGGCATTTCCTCTTGACACAACGCTTTTTTTTTTTCTTTTTTTTTTTAAAGTTACTTTGTTTTGCTGCCTTTCACGCTCACGTTCTCCCTTTCCCCCGCCCCTTCCCGGAGCATCAAGTGGCTTTGCTCTCGGCATAGCGCCTGCATGGGTTCCCCGCTCAGGCGGCCGTCTCTGGATTTGACTTCGCCCTGGGTGGAGGATGGAGGTGCCAAGCTGCTGGAAGGGGTCTCCGGCCGTTACCTGCCAGGTAACACCTGGGCTTTGCCGTTGAGGGGACTGCAGCCCCCGCTCGAGTGGCGTACGGGCGGTGGTAGCACGCCGCGCTGCATCGGTGGTGGGTCTGTGCCGGTCAGGGGGCGTCCGCCTCTGATCTAGGGTTTGCCGGGGAGTGACAGGAAACCAGTTTTGCATCTGGGGCGTGAAAAGCAAGCGAGTCCTCGGAGCTTTCGCTTGCTCTCGCGGCGGCGGCGGGCGAATGGATCGGTCGCGTCTAGCGGGAGGGAGGCTAGAAAGTGGTGTGTGAGTGTGTCGGCTTTTCCTGGTCTGCTTGGTGCACACCTCCCTCTCCGGGAGCTCTGTGACTGGCAGGATCAGGCCCTTCGGAGGACACCCACTCCTGTTGCAATTGTCAGAGGATCAGCCTGCGGGCCGGGTATCTGCAAGGCTCCTGTGGAGCGGGAAGCCACTCCCCTTGCTGCGAGGCAGAGGTCCATGAGACTGGGCCCCAGCCATCTCTTCCTGTGGCGAGCAGCAGGGGTGGGGGTAGGGAGGAGGTGCGAGACTAGGAAGCTGGCCAGACCAGACATTGGAAAAGCCCCGACACCTTCACAAGGGGCACGCTGAAAAGCCACCGTGGCAAGAGCGCGAA